CTTGAGGGTGATTGTAGGGTGATAATACACCAAAAAAAATTAAAATTGTTCCTGGCCGCTGATAGACCAAGCGCCATACGATTTTGCCCATTCTCCTTTATGAAATGCACATTCTCTTAAAAATTTTGGTGAATGCAGTATTAAACTAGAGTTAGGCTTTGGATACTAGACTTTTGAGCTTGCGTGAGTAAACAAAATGTTTTAAAATAATAACCGAAAGAACCGTTAGACTCGTTAGAACCGGGTTTTTACATCTGAGAACCGGTTCTTTTAGATACTACCAGAACCGGGTTTTCCCGATTCTTTCGGTTCCGGGTAGAACCGGTTCCGATGCCCTAGTCGTCGACTCCAGAGATCCCGGGTTCGAATCCCGGTGGGGGCAGATGTTTGTGTGATGAATACGAGCATTTGCACTCCAGTCATGGATGTTTAATATGTATTACTATATAAATATACATATATATATGTATTCTATCCGTTACCCTAGTATCCCATAACACAAACCTTACAGTGTTTACTTTGGGGCTAGGTTAATTGGTGTGAGTGTTAGAAATATTCATTTATTATTTATTTATTCATAAACTTCATGTTAATTATATATACAACGTAGTCCGTGATTATTCAATTCCATAGCGTGCGCTTTTCAAAAAAATCGGGTGACAAAATGTTTACACAACGTGTGCACGTTTGAGTCCATGACGGAAGTTTTCAGTGGTTTTTTTTCACGATTTAGGTACTTTTGTCCTCCGTGGACAAAAGTTCCTCGTCTACGCAAGCCATAATTATGACTTCCACATACTGTCTTCACGTGCAAGCACTTCTCATGTTTTTTGTTATCTTAACAGTCTCTTCTTTTCATCCCATATAGGGCACATTGAGATATCACTGTTGTTCAAATTAGTTATTAATTATAAGGCAAATGCAAATCCATGAAAATGTTAACATAATAGACACCTTCAGCATTAGTTTTGATCTTTATAAATTTATCTTATTGTTTAATGACAGTAAGATTTTCTTCTTTTATTTAATTTTATCCTACTGTTAGATAGCAATAAAATAATTTTATTATTAGATGTAATGATAAATCAACAATAAGAAGAAAATAAGGCACAATTGGCACAATCAAGGCCTTGTTCACCTCTCGGTCGTCATATAAATTACCTAGAAATGTAAATTATCAGCTGTGCCATTTTCCTTGAATTTTCATACGAAAACATGTTGTTGCAGATTTTCAACATAAATGGAAGAATAACAATTCAAAATACCTAATTCAGTCTTTATTTCTTTGTACTTACGTCATGCATAATAATATCATAATATTTAAAGAGCAAAAATGCTACTTGAGATTATTATGCTAACAGCTCTCTTATTTGTTATCGATTTAAATAATTCGTTCAAAAATAACAATAGACCGATTGTAATACAATTATATTTCATATAATTAATAAAGACATATATTATAAATAAATTATTTTCAATTTTTTTTAGTGTATATGATGTTAGTCGCAGACCTTTACAGCGATGAACTTTACCGGGTGTGGGGACGGCGAGATCCTAAGGGGACCTCAAGCCGAGAATTGGCGACTGCTTCTTGAGGTATTCCAGGCGGATGGCATCTTCCCAAGGGGAGTTTCCTCTCCGTCTGGAGCCTCTAAACCACTCGAACCTGAGGGGGTCGGCTCAACTAGAGGGTGTCTCTGGGAGTCGGACCTCGGCTCAAGTTAGCCATAGTCATGCGAGGCGGGGAAAAACGCCCAGGTACGTACCTGTACCTGGTATATCGTGTCGTGTGTAGACCGGGTTTTCGCACTCTTATCCTACGGGTGCGGTTTCTGCCTAATGCTAAGCGAGTGTGCAAGTTTGCTAGCTGTGTAGTGTTGGTGTTTGTGGCCTGTGTGGGAGGAATAGGCTAGGCGCGTTGGCGCGGGTGATTTCGTCGTCGAGGTACTCTAAGACGTGCCTAGGCCGACGGAATCGGAGGCACTGACGATTGGAGGACGGGAGGGCGGACGTATGATAACTAATGGCTTTAACTACTAAGGGGTTCGGATGATGCGCGGCTTTTTTCAAAATTGTCAACTTATGCCTAAGTGACATTTTACTTCGCTTCCATATCAGGTGGAATAGCCTGTCGCGAATGAATGCTGCGCGATTACGAACAATCTTCAGATGAGGTGCAAACTTCAATCAGTTATCTAACGTGACTTCCAAGTACTTGACCCGGTGCTTTCAGGGGATAACCCGGTCAAATAATTGGATGCACGGATGAGAACGCGAGGGAGGTGGTGGCTACTAAGAAAATCGCGACCCTTTTTCTGGATTAACCCCAATACGCCATCTACGGATCCAATCGCCAAGGGTGGTATCACCTGATTGAAGTCTATTACAGACTGTTCCGAGAAGTCTATCGGAGGTATAGAGGGCGGTGTCATCGGCGAAAATCGTTCCGCCATCTCTATCGTTCTGGACTAAGTTATAATTGGCAATGCGCGGGCCACGAATGGACGATTTCAAAAACGTTTGTTGTACTACTAAAAATTTTGCGATTTCCGCACTATGACTATAGAGACCGTTAGCGTTGAAGAACGCTAACGTGGGGGACCGCGGTTTGATCCTTGAGGACGCCATTAAGAAAAAGGGATGGTGAGCCGTGATGTAGGGATGTTCGATATCGATTCGATTAATTGATTAATCGTTTGTAAGATTTTGCGCATTAATCGATTAATCTATAAATTAAAATAATCATTGTTATCGATTATTTTACATCGATTAATCAGTTCGCAATGACCTTCAATAAGGTCTTGTCAGTTCATACATTAACAATGCCTAAACATGAAACATGTCTCAAAAATCATCATAACAAGCTTCGACAGCCGACAGCTTTGTCCATACAATACCCACTGTTACTTTAGTCTTTAAAACCATCTCTGTCTATATGTAATAATGTATAACGTTTATGCAGTTGAAGCTACGTATTTTTCTTCTAGATGTCAAACTGGAACAAAATGTTCATTGTGGCAAAGGACCATAGTCATTTATTCCATAAATACAATATTACATTGTGTCGGAAATTATGATTTATTTCTATTTAGGTAACATAGAAATAAATCCCAAAAACAAAACCCTTACATAGCCTGAGATACTATTAAAAACCAATATCCAGATATTTATAGAGTGGCAATCAGACATTTATCAATCATTTCCACGTCTGTGCATTCTGAAAGACTATTTTCAGAAGCTGGGCAAATCGCCACCGACATGAGAAACAGATTGACTGGTTCTCATCTTTCGATGTTATTTTTTCTGTCATCCATAGATGAATCTCAATGGAAATGTTAGTGATTAAATAAACATTCTTATTTAAAAATTTTAATTCTTTTATTTCTAATTAATGTCTATGTAATTTTTTTGCATTTCGGCGGATCATTTATTTTCTTACAAAGACTGGAATTTTTCTTCAATTAATGGATTAATCGATATCATAAGTGCAATTAATCGATTAATTGTAATCGACACTGTAGAAATAATCGATTTCTCCCCCGTGCCTTGTGAGGCATCACGGGGGAGAGCGTCGGTGGCTGAGAAGAAACCACCTTCCGCCATGCTTTGGGTGCGGGGGGTCCTAGTATGGTAGCGGGGCGGAGGGAGATCGTTCCCTGAGCGAGGTGGGCCGCGGGCGCGCTTGCGCCGGTCTTTGCTGTCTACGGGGCTTTAGGACAGCCGCGGTAGTTCGGGGTGTGCTGACCACCGCAGAGAACGCCCGGCGGGATTTCCGGTACCGGGACCCTCGGCCGATGGCAATCCTTCGTCACGTGGTCGAGCGTGCATTTGACGCACCGAGCACGGGCAAAATAGAACCGGGCCGAGTGTCCGCATAGTTGGCAATTATGGCATTGACCGACACTGCCATGCTTGCGTCGGGGCTCTACGCGGATATTTGACAGATGACAAATGGCCTTGATAGAGAAGATTTTCTTTCCCTCGGGGGAAGGATCGAGAATGACCAAGAAGAGGTCATACTGCCATTTGCCAAGGATTTAATCGTGTTCGTTTTTCAGCAGAAAAAAAACAAATTGATTAGGACATCATTTTGGTTTGTCGTCGTTAGATTTGTACTTATTCTGTGTAACATTTTTGAACTAAGATTTTCGATAGCAATGACTTTTTAACCGTGTTTTTTATTTTTTAGTTCGTGTACAAATAAACAAAGATACATTTACCAACCAAAATTAAATCAACGAAGATTCAACATTGAATACACCTATCTTTTTCATACCGTAGGCATTCATTCTGTTACGGAACAATTTACCCCGCGTATTCAACCACAGAATTAGGCAAAACTATTGTTATCCCTCTTGATTGTGCGGATTTAGTTTATTAACAAGCAAATCAGGATTTTGGAGCACAAAGGGATTGAAGTGTCTAGGGACCGCTATTAACTGATGCATGTTCTATCACAGTGGCTTTGTTTTGAAACCTAGTCCATTATAGGATCGATGCGGTATATAATCGTTTCTCCATAAATATAGTTGTAACACTCATTTGTGAAGGTAAACACCTTAATTTCAGAACTAGTGCTATGAACTTTTGTGTACAATTAATTGCTTAGGTACGTCATGTCCTTTGTTATATAATAAAGAGCTATTAATGTGACGATGTCGTGTATATGAAGCGGTTCGTTACGTTCATTAAAATATGGTTGGGTTGACTAATAACTAACGTCACATTTGCTTTTGCTTGTTTGTGATTGTATATCTCAATCTTCTTTCATTTTCCAATGCATTACATACATCACACTGGCGGATTCCGCGGTGATAAGTGAGTCTGTTTTTTTACTGCTGGTACTATTGATTAATTTTGACATTGGAATTTTCTAATAGTAATTACAAGCTAAAATCTCCTTACCTACTACACCTATGATGCGGAGTGAAGATTTGTATGTATGTGTAAGCTATGTATCTATAAGCTTATGTTATGAGTCATATTATTCGGTCACTTACTTGAAAAGGAATTGAGTAATTTCGCTGTCCCAGAACTGATCGCTGTAGTCTTGCGATTGAACGGTGAATCCTCGAGCTAAGTCCTCAAAAGCGTTGTTGAGCTCAAGTATGAGGGGACGGTTAAACCAGTCGCTGATACGAACGGAACCTCGCAATGCTCTGGATTCCGTAAAAAGCCTGTGTAAACAAATAAATAAATAAAACCTCGGATAACATCACGTCAATAACATCTCTCCTTATTATAAGAAAAAAAACTCCGGACACGTTTTATACTACATAAACAATCATTTAGATGGAATAAATTTTGTCTCTTTTTTCAACTTTCTGAAGAACCACTCAAACCAATGTCAATTCATACAAAATTTGTCTTAACATAGTGTCTTACATTTTTGAGAGAGAAAAAGAAAAGCGGAAATACTTATACAGTACTTATTGGAATAAGAACGCCCCGTATTTTTATTAAACAGGCGCGATACCAACTTAATTTAAATATCGAGATCTAGATTTGCAAATGAGGCGTTCTTTCTCGTGAAAACTTCTTATCTCCGTGAATTATGACTAAAAGCCCGTACATACGCAAGCTTTACATACGATTTGTATATCATTGCGCAGTCATAAGGCTGAGTAAGGTAAGAACATAGTTGCAACGGATCGATGAACCCAAAACGCCATTGGGGACGCGTGTAATTTGCCTCACCTGGACATGTTGTAAGTGAAAGCTTCACGTTTACAGTTTACTTACTTCAAGAATCCTCTGATCAAAGTGTGGAAATGTCTGAAGGCGGCAGTGGCGTGTTCGTCTAACACAGAAGGGTCCACATTGGGGTTGTAGTCGTTCACGTAACCATGCACTCCGGGGTAAATGAGTTTGTTCTTTATCATGTTATCGTGACCTATGGAAAATTTTAATATGTTTAACCAGTGTGGGAATATTGATACGAAATAAAGTGCTGTCCAAGTCTGATTGTATCCAACAACGAGAATTTCAGTGAGGAATATAACAAAGCATTTGGTTTTTCTTAACAAGCGAATGCGAAATTTTGTGAAATTACGAAATGCAAACTTTTTAATATGAAGGAAAGATATTTTTCAGTAGATGCAGGAAAATAGTTAGTTAGTCCTACCGTGCTGTCCTGCATCCCGTGAGGGGAAAATACACATCAAAGTCCTACAGCCATAAAAACAACGGCAACAGCTTCTCAATTTGCTATTTTTACGTTTTTATAAAGATAAAAAACCGTAACGATAGCGCTATTTAGTACTCTAAGCACGAAGCGAACCAATATCGAATTCGCATCGTTTGCGAGTCCAAAATGTCATTATTGTTAAATGTGTAGTCATTTATAGTTCTAGTTACGGACTTTGTGGCTGTTCAAGTTTCCATGCAAAATTTGACAATGACATTTCGGACTCGCATACTATTCGAATTCGATATTGGTTCGTGCTAGGGGTACAAAAGCTGTTGTCGTTGATACACGCGGTAGCTTTGTGGGACTAATAATAATATAATAATTAGTAATTGTAGTTTTTATTTTTTAATTTGTGTATTTCAAAGACAGGTTTTACGTTCATCTGTTACTATTAATGTTTTCTTCCAAGGTATTTTCAATGGGTAAGAAATTTTCTTCATCAAAGTTGAACGATCATTACTCTTAAAGTAACAAAACTATCTTAACCGTTACATTTTTTTCTAAAAATCATAAAAAGCACTATTATCTTGAGTTTTTCAGGTTGAACAGGTAGGTAGGTATGAACTAAAATTAGCACTTTAAAGTTCAATATTTCGCAAACGAATCCCTTAATCGAAATATAGTTTTAGGAACCCCTAAGTAATTTTAAAAAACCTATTCAACGATACCCCACACGATGGGGTAATCAAAAAATACATCCCCAGGTTACATGTAGGGGAGCTACCTTAAAAATATATTTTTCTAAATTTTATTCTACCATTTTGTCGGTGTTATTGATACACATATCTCCACAAAATTGCAGCTCTCTAGTGCTAACCGTCTCCAAGCAAAACGGTGGACGGACAGACAGACGGACATGACGAAACTAAAAGGGTTCCTTATCAGGACTACGGAACCCTAAAAACGTATCAAATTCATCAGAATTTTTATTAATGTAATAACAGAGAAGGCTCCCCGTATATTGGTGTAGTATGGGATATAATGTATACATAATATGGAAGTATCTAGATCGTAAAAATATTGAAAATTGATTCATAAGGATACTTGAATTTCAACTTCGTTTATTCAGTTTAGGCCGTTACAAGAACCTATAAAAGTCTAAATGCTATGCCTCGTAAATCATTGGGAGACCTTGTACTAAGAAGATCCGGTGAAAAACTAAACGAGGGCTGTTTTTTCCACCCTTTCATGTTTTATACTACCTAAGTACTCATTTTGAAAAGATAAAATAAATACAATCACGAAGTCATTTCTTATTACAAGTTTTAAGATAACTTAAAATTTGTATCATCATTACATTGGCTGTCGTGGCATACAATACGAAAACTTAATTTATATAAGCAACTCACCCAACAAAATTGGCAAGTATTCATAATAGTTGATGTGCTGAGTTATGGCGATGAGTATACGGCGAGCTTCCTGGAATATGATCTCGTCACCCCACTGCGGGTTGAGGCTGCCGAGGGTGTCCGCTATGCGGTTGTGTTCACGCATCAATATGACTTGCAGCACGGCAAGCTGGGGACTCTGATTGACCCTGATGTCACCTGCAGCAATAACAATAATAAGAAGGACAAATCACAACAATCGTTTAATACCAAAGCTAATTAGTTGAGCTGGGTACTAAAGAGAATGTTGTTTATGCTAATCACACAAAGAGATGGAGAGCTCAGAATCTTTTTCAAAGAAGGCAGAAGCGCTGCTATTACACCAAATGTCACGTAAAAATGTGAATAGTATTTTTCCACAATCAATTTGCATGTTATGGTTAATGCATTCGAAAAATTACTATGTAACTTTTTAATAAAGATTTTGAACTAGAATATCCTTATATTACGTTTGGCTCCATATCTGATTTAAACTCATTCCGGGTGGCTCCACAGTGAAATGTCAATTTAATTAATTAGGTGCTACTGCTCATATGTTAAAAGCAATATAAACTTGTTGTCTCTTTGTTAAATTTATGTAAATGATGTTTATATGAAATAGGTTTTGGCAAATAGGTCTAAAATATAGGTATCGAATTTAATAATTTAAGAGAGAGTATACAAAAGACAATACAACTTTGCCACGATCCAATAGGCATGTAGGTACCTAGAAAGTTTACACAATTTTAGTTTAATGATCAAAAGTATCTTCTATCTAACTTAGCTGGTAAATGAAAACCCTTCAAAGTATATAAGTATATGAACGATATAATAGTTAATTGCAGTGCTCCATGGTAACGAAAATTGGCGTGAAATGACTTTACGATGAAAATCATATGTCGGATGATAGTATGAAATAAAAAAGAAATATCCGGAGTTCTCGAACCTTTTCAATAGCTTCTTATTTAGCGGTTGAATCGAGCTATTTTCAAAGAATTGTATTTTATATTGATCCGTCTATCGTGCGGGGACTAAGTTCTTTTTCTTCCTCAAGGTTTCCATTTGAGCGGAAAATTCTGAGCTTTGCAATGGGACTTAGGGGAAACTGAACATAGGATTAAAGGGTTTGAACACCTTTTCAATATTAAATAACATCAATTATTATTTCTCAACTCAAGAATTTGGCTATTTTTCGTTTGAAAAACATGGAGCTTTGAAAAAATATATAAAAAACTTAATAGTTGTAACTTTTAAAGAAAAGATACAAACACTTTAAAGAAGACATTCTAACTCCTTGCACTATATACTTGAATCACTGCATTGACTGCTGGTTGCAGATTTTACGTCTACAGATGATTGTTTTTTTTTTTCAGTAATGCAGCAGTTCTACATAAAATGCATTTCGTTAATATTTCTTTAAATTAGCAAATAAAAATAGTATCTTAACTGTTCTGCAAGATGAAATATTATAATCTGTATGAGTGTAATAGATAATATGTTGAAATAGGAAATATTTCTACCATCAATAAACAATTAAATTTTATTCTAAAGTACTGTTAACTTACTGTGTAATCAAGCAAGAAGCACAATGATAACGATTTGTTAGATTGAATAGAGTTGCGATTGACATTTTTTTTGTTATAAAATTCTTATCTTCTTATCATTTACTTAATTTTCTCAAACGTGTATTTTCCTGCTACATTTTTTACTACAAAATAACACAATTGGAAAATGTCTCTTCTTTGGAAAACTTAATAAAAACTCAAAAAAATATTAACCTCAATAGATCTCTGTTCATTTAAATCTTCATGAAACTCACTTTCTGTAGGTATTACTTTAACAATGCTAAATTTTATAATTTTTGAAAGATCAAATCAGAGTTTTGAGGTAGCAAGTGACCCGATTTATTTGCCGTCCAGTGTTTTATATTTAACTCATCAGTCAAATATCACGGTTCATTTAGCAATTGAGCTAATGCAAAAGTAAGACTGCTGTTCGAGTTTTGGCCACGGGGATCACTCGAACATGGTCAAGAGCCGGCCTCCCTGGAGGGCTCGGAGGGGCGCAACTATTTTTGTAGACGAGCGACATTTCTAAATAAATAATATAGTGAAACAAACTGTTTCATTTACTCACCGGTCAAATAGCACGGTTCATTGGGTGATTGAGCAGATTCACAAGTGAGAGTGATATTTGGGTCTTGTGGGGGCCACTCGCGGCCTCGTCTCACCACGGTTAGCAGCCGGCCGCCCTGGAGGGCTCGAAGGGGCGCAGCCTGTGTGGCACTACTGCCGTATACGAGCGACATGTCCATGTAAGCTGTCACTGTTGTTATCTGTGAAAGAATATACGATTTAAACGGTAAAAAAATAGGCTGAGACCGAGTGTGTACATGGTGATCTCTTATCTTCTCTTCTCAGGGTCTTGAGACTCGACTCGTGGGTCTCGGTGGCTTGTCAGTTTCTGCACCTGTGGCAAAGGATCTCGTTTGATCTCGCAAAGAGAGATGAGAGCAAGCATGTACACATTCATAAAGTGCCCCTTCGGGTGGGACTCTCAACGAGAGGCCCTCGGCTAGTATGTACAGCCGCCACCAGTCTAGGTCGTATAGCGCATTTTGCTGTCTTAGTCTTTTCCATTTGGCGAACGGAAAGAACGGAACCAAATAAAAAACAAAGATAATGGACTGCGCGTTCCTCATATATGCTGAGCGTTTCCTTTACAGCTGTTTGGTAATAAAAAAAAACGGAAGGTGTATAGTTCATATTATCCTTTTCTCTCTCTTGAGAGTTCTCAATTGTTCAGTCCACGCTCTATGTAAAACTTGTGAAATTGGGCATATGTGAAAGAAACGAAGCGATAGGATGGTTCATAGTTCATCTATGTGTAGGTAGAGGTTTCCTACATAAAAGTTGTCAGTTTCATGCGAGTGTCGCTCACTCCGTTCTTTATGTTAAGGGTTCCAGTCAAAAGCTCAATACAACAGAAACAACGCGAACATAAACTTTTCAGTCCCCGAAAGTGAAGAAACTTGTTCTAGGAATTTGATTAAAGAAAGGTCTCGGGTAGTTTGTTCCGCATTGTACTTATATTTTTATAGAGGTATATTTTACAGGTGTTTCATGTGAAATAAACTTCGTTTCGTGTACACGAATTCATCATTTGTCTGTTATATTGTTTAAGCATTGCAATTACATAATTTTTACTTACCTTTTTATTAAGCGTACGTTCTCGTAGCATGCATATAAAACAATTGTTTCTAAATTAATATGTTAATAACAATTTAGTGTGAGCATCGATTATTAGTTACTCAAAAAAATAAGAAATAAAAAAAAGATTTGAAAAAAGAAGAACAATAATTCAGCAAATTATTTTAATATACCTGAAATTTGATCTTGTGTAGGGCTTAAAATGGCGATACTGCAATTCATCAGAATACAATTAATTTTCTGAGGTTAATTGCAACATATAAACGTAGAGCATGGTTTGCTCGGATCGCGCTCAGTTGTAATCTAGGGCTTAGCTTTAATAACTGCCAGTAACAAAATTCAAAATTCGAATATATATTCATTGGTTTCAAATGAATTGCAATTTCAACTTTTGCTTCCCCGGGTAGATTCGTGCTTGATCGATAATTTAGCAGTCTCTCACAATCTCATGTTGTTTATAATAACTTTAAACTAGATTAAGATGTACTTTTGGATTATTACTAGCTGACCCAGCGAACTTCGTACCGCCATAAAAATAGGAGCTGCTGGTAGAAGGGTGAAAATTTAAGCTTGTATGTATTTTTAATGCCACATTGTAAAAAAAATACCAAAAACTAAAAATAAAATGTTAGGGATAGACAACCTTTATCACTTAGGGATATAAAAAATAGATAGTAGCCGATTCTCAGACCTACTGAATATACATATAAAATTTCATAAAACTCGGTCAAACCGTTTCAGAATAGTATGGTAACTAACATTTTGAAACGAGAATTTTATATATAAGATTATCATGCTTACTGGTTGAGCGGGTACGTTGGGAGGTGAACATCCTCTGGAACGAGTGCTAGCAGTCCTGACGAAGTTCATGCACCGAGTGCCTTGAGGTCCATGCACCGGGTCGTTGGGTGGGATCAGGATGGGTGCACACGTAGGATTAGTCCCTGCGTCCGGTGCCAATTGGCCGTTGTCGTCGCAGCATGTGACCATGTCCTTATCTGTTCGCGATGTGTTAAAAATTAATAAATAATAATAAATATTTCCTACACTCACACCGATTAGCCTAGCCCCAAAGTAAGCACTGTAAGGCTTGTGTTATGGGATACTAGGGTAACAGATAGAATACATATATTGTACATTATAAGTATATTTATATAGAAATACATATTAAACATCCATGACTGAAGTACAAATGCTCGTATTCATCACACAAATATCTGCCCCCACCGGAATCGAACCCGGGTATAAACCACTCGGCCAGGGAGGTCGTAATGTTGTAAGTATTAGTTGATATAAAAAATCTGGCATTACAAATATTATTTGGAATTTAAGTAATTGAAACCTTAAATAAAGAACACCTACCACATTGATAAAGATATTATTGGTTCGACGAGAAAAAGTTACATATAAAATCTTTAGTAAAAATCAGAGAAAAAAACAGTGACCAGTAAACAAAGCAGTTATTAACGTATCATCTAGGGGTTGTAATAATTACCCAAAAAAAATATGCGTGCACGGACCACACATCTGAAGTGAAACTTCTTTTCATAATCATTCATAATCATAATCAAAATCATTTATTCAGTTTAGGCTGTTACAAGCACTCCTGAATGTCTAGAAGCTACGCCATCGGTTCGTAAATCTACGGCGGGAAAACCTAACATTAGGCGGTGCATAAGGTATAGGGGAATGGAGCAGCGCACGCATCACTCATACATATGTATTGTCGCATGTGACGCTCGTAGCGTTTCATGCTCGTCGGGAAGAGCTGCGCACGCATTCCACACACAGTCGTGTGACGATCGTGACGCATTTCCGTTTCATCTTTTCCATAGGATTTTTCCATTTACACCCCGACAAAAACAAAACTTAATGTTAATTCAAACTATGAATAATGTATGTTAATGCCAATGATGAGATGTTGAATTGATACAGAATTTCCAATGCTACTGATACTTACACGTAAGTAATACTTATGTTTGAATATTTACACAATTAAAGCAGGTACCATAACTAAACATTTACACAAAGAGGAACCTTCCACATCGGGTCGCTGTGGGTTCGTTGCGTTTCGTTTCTTTTCCGAATCTGAACAGATTCTCTACAGTCGAACACAGAACCTCCTCCTTTTTTGAAGTCGGTTAATGAGAGCTTCATCACGGAGTCGTTTCAGTAGAGATTCTTTACCGAGCATCCGCTGTGTATCCACACAGCTCTCTGTGCCGAGTGCTACTGAACCATTCGACTGGCATGTCCCGTCACTAGCGCAAAACAAAACTGTAGCAAGCAAAACGAAACGATACCGCATTAAAACCGAGCCGATCAAAAAGTGGTTCTCGGTAAAGAATTTAAGTAACCGAAACTGAAACGGCCTGCACCGACTCCATTACGCCTTAGTGCCTTAGTCATGAGGGATGTGAGGTTAATGGAAAATAATCGATTAAATTAAAATCATTTTTTCTTAATTCGAATAATAAGTTCTTTCGAATAAATTTTTCATCCGTAACATAGATACGAGCTTTTTCTCAAAATCGATTTAAACACGTAATTTATATAATCGATTTACTAAAAATCGCTTAATAGTACTATAAAAATCGATAATAAAAAATCAAGTCAAAAATAAAAAATCGATTATTTTAACATCCCTAAGTCAAGTGTAATGTCGTCGAATTCGAATTGACAGAATTTAAGTTTATCTATAATTGTTAGATGTCAAGTATGCTCGATAGATTTTAGCATTCAACTTTCATGATTGAGACGAAACAAAATCATTTTGTAAAGAATTGCGTACACTACTAGAAGCTCTAACTCTTGATTGAAATGTTTGAAGTTGCATCAAGAGAATTTCACATGAAGTTAGCTTCCAATAAACTTCACGTTACATACGTTGTCCCTTGCGTTTACGCTGCATCGATGTTGTGAATATTGAATGGCAAAGTAATTTTTTCTTGCGAAAAGTCCCAATTCTATTGTCGATTCATCTAGGTATATCGGTTTCCAAAATGGATTGGATGAATTTGCTATTTTACTTTTGGTATCAGCAATCGTTAATTCTATTTATGTAAGCACAGTAGATCTTAGACAAATTAGATTACTGAATTTTCTTAGCTGGCTATTTATTTGTGGCAGATGATTCATTAATGGAAGGCGTTGATGATAGTCCTCTTGGAAAAGACTCTTGAAAAGATTTAGAGCCTTGTCTTAGAGGGCACAGTTTTAATTAAGCATTTTCACACACAAACAAAACGCACTCTGTTATTGCCGTAGAAAAACAAAAGAAAACTGTTAAAATTTAACGGTTTCATTACCACCCTTCCTTGGCGAAGCCCCATACGAGCTTTCATTACTTCCTGAAAATCAAGTTTAAATTTATATTTTCCTTTACTAATCATAAAAATCTATTGAAATGAGAAATATATTTTCAGAATCCACCTGGTATTATTATATTGAGATTGACCATTTTAAACATACTCGTATTTACTAGGAAATCAAAACATTCTAGTGGTTTCACATATGTATAATATTAACCGTTACATAATTATACATTAGTATTGGCTGGGCTAAACTTGATTGGTCCCGTTATCTGAAAACAATAGTGACAGATTTTCAGCCCATCCCGTAAAATAGTTTTTAATACTAGTTGTTAACATAACCTAATTACATTACTTTTATATTTCCTCTATCTTCTTATGTCAAACGAATAGTTTTTACTCGTCATCAAAGTCATAGTAATAAAAATTTATTAGCGTAGTAAAGTTGTTTTTGACAAACCAGACTTATAAAGCATTATGAAACGATTTTACTATTTCTAACAAGTTGATTGAAAGTACGAGTAATTTTAATACGAAAAATGGTGGATAAAAGTTTTTTAGAACATTTTAAAAAAGGGACTAAAAGGACATTGTTCAGCGTCCATACATAGTTAGCCTAAGAACCAACAATCATGAAATATTATTTTCTAGGTTCGAAATCGTAAATAAATGACTGTAAAAACAAAGATTATTGACAGACACTTCTGAAAACTTAAATTACTCTTATTAGGAAAACTAAATTTTTTTTTGAGGTTATGTTTAATATTCAATGAAACATAGGTCAACCTATGAACTAAGTATGAAATCAGTATTAAGTGAATTAATATTACAACTAATTCATTTTATTCCGTGCGATTTTAAAGAATAACTATTAGGAAAAACTTGGTTAGGTAGGAATCATGAATAAAATAAAAACTGTAGTTTTGCTTCTTATTTATTGACTTTTTTTTCACATAATTGTATCATATTGTGTATTGTATTTATTTGTATATCACATGTATATTGTGTAAATATGCAGCGTGAATGTGTATCAGGTGTTCTTGAATAATTTGGCAGTATGATCCTCTCAGAATGTTGTGGCACAGGTTCACTAGCACTTGGTAATAAGGGCTCTGCTCTTTGGTAACATCGATGGCATATTAGATAGCCGAAATAGTTAAAATAAAGGAAAAACAATCGCAAATAAACACACACAACAGGTAATCCGAAACGAGAATGCACTTTCCGATATATTATAATTATACTACTCTTTGGAATGCACGAATGCCACAGATTACTACGAATGCAAACTGCCTGCACCACAACCACAGAGTAACGAGTTTTATGCCGGCCCTTCACTTGACAACAGTTTATCCTTGTGATGCTTAATAAGGAATTTTAAATTTCAAATAGCAAACACGAATAGTCAAGTGAAGTGCCGGCTTTAGGAAGAAAGAATGTTTTGTTTGCAGTGCTGTCATAGATTATACGCATAAAATAGTATTTATTGTCTCAGATTATTTTTTAACTTTTTAATTTAGCTTACTTAACTGGAAGTGTCCGTCACAATCTAAATACAGATAATTACCGCAAAAAATATACTAAGAATTATCTTATGATAATTCTTGCCCAATGCCCAATTGGTGTTGGTTCTTAGGCCAATTTTAACATTGTCCTTTGAGTTTATATTCCAAAGATGCCGTTCGTAAGTTATATGTAATTTTGAATGGTAATACACATATAGGTAGCGGCAAATTTCTTGAGTAAATCACATAAACTTGCGCAGTAAAAGTGTTTGTTGCTTTCTTGTCTATGGTCTAATACTAAAAATATTATTAATTATTATTTTATATTTTTAGTATTCAATTAAATAATAATTTGAACACTTAAATCTTATTCCAAACTCCTTGCGTTAGTTCGTTCACACCCTCATTGTTGAATAAAGATACGAGGTATGACGCAACTGCTTAACAATACAACACTGGAACGTTCATTCTACCGTGAGATTGGAGAGTACGTGTTCAATTTGTAACAAACTTTGTACGGTAACCGGCGGAAAGAGATAGAACAATCTTTACAGTTACACGATTTACATGATAATACATACGGACGTCGATTTGTCAGCATTAATTAATAATAGGGATGGGATGACGACTTATTTTTTTTATTTGTTTATCACGTAAATTACCAAATTAACTAAATGACGTAATATTCTCACGCTCCCACCAATAAGCCTTGCCCCTAAGTAAGCACTGTAAGGCTTGTTTTATGGGATGCAAGGGTAACGGATTGAATACATACGTAGTATATTTTATCCAGATATACACATATATATAAACGTCCATGGCTAAGGTACAAATACCTTTTTTTCGTCACACTTAAATTTTCCCCACCGGGATTCGAACCCGAGACCTCTCAGTGGCGACCCCTTGAAACCAGTCCAGTATATACCAGTCAGCCAAGGAGGTCGTCAAAAAGTATTGTACACGTATTTTTTCATTATTCAGTTAATCATTAATTGAAATGTCGCATGACGCAACGTCTTCGTACAATTCTTACTTAGAAGGGACGTCACGATACCCCGCTACCAAACTTTGCCGCGCTTCATCTTTTAAATTTTTTATTTTAAGTATCCATTATATTTTGATAATGTAAATGACGGAATAAATATAATGTAATTTTTTTCAGGTCCGACAAATGACTCCACCCCACCTGATGTTAAGCACTGCACCTGGTACTGCAGTTTTACCTGCCATACCAGCCATCCTTACCTAGCTGACCTGCATGTTGCTTCTCCACGCCTCTTTTAAAGGACCCCAGGTTATAAGAAGAAGGGAACACGTGAGCAGGCAGAGCATTCCATTTACGGATAGTCCCAGAAAGAAATGAGTCACCAAATTTCTTTGTACGCGTTGGAATTGTGGCCGCAATTAGACGGTGACAACGAAGGCCAGCGCACGTGGTCCTCAGAAGAAAATGGGAAGGTGGAATAAGAGCGAATAGCTCCTCAGAACACTCGCCGTAGTACAGACGATAGAACGTTTAATTTACTTTACCCCGTCATCATCCCTATTACTCGTCTCTGTTGTTAAAATCAGCAGTTGCTGTAATTTTTTTCATTGAGCTCAGTTTTGGAAAACTGTTGTTAGCTGTCATCTGACACCGGTCCACTATTGTTTCCTAACAAGACCCATCATCTAACGTAATTTGTGTTCCAACAGTACTAATTGTTAAATACAAATAATACAACTTACTATGATTTCACATTTAAATCCGTCTCATTGTAATTTTCTTTTGATACTCTGCCAATACCAACGACTAATTTAGAGCTGTCTTTTTATTATGTAGGTAAAGGAAAAAAGTCTTAATGCCCAATAGAAATCAAGTATTAACCTTTGAGGAGATCGATGGCGCAGAGGTGAGTGTTCAATCTGCTATCGAAGTGCTTAAGCAGATTAAAGAATTAACTTTCGCAATGGTCGGTTATAGGATGGATGGGCGATTGAATATTTATTATCTCGATGTCCTCCGTGTTTCAGCCATCCGAACGGCCATCGACATGTTAAGCCATTGGTCCCAGCCATTTATTTTTTTCATCCAGCCATTAATTCTATTCAAAGGGAAGGCCCGTATCTCAGTAGCTGGGACATTAATTTGCTGATGATGTTGATTGGGAAGCCAAACATCTGTATAGTACCTACAGGAACGAAATACAAAAGGCATGGCCTGGTTAGTAACAGCACAGTTATGTCTCGCTGTTCGTTTTGCTCATCGTTCCATCGTTGTAATCGTTGTCTATATTTGATTTAATTTCTTATTCTATTCTGATAATCTGCCACTTGTTAAATAAAAGTTGATATATTTATATATTTATATCGTCTTTAGAGCATTGATGTGTCAAGGTACGTCTGTTAATCTAATATAAAAATATCGACGTACGAGACGGATGCACTAAAACTACATGAGGGACATCGCTTTTTAGCAACATGGCTTCCAGCCAACTTTTGGAGGTTACATATTTCATGCTGCAACTGCCATGGTCTCGTAAACACAGTCACAAGTCATTGTTTATTTAATTATGTCTTCCGTAGCTCATGTTTTATTACTAAATTGGAAAACGGCAACTAAATTCCGTCTTATCTGCAGAACGCATAATATCTATATAATAAATAGAGGATACTTGAAATACACATTTTACATCTGCCCCCCTAGCATGATCATCGCGATATGATATATAGCTCGTTTTTACCACGCTAAATTGTCAAATTACTATGAAGTTTGACAGTTAAACGCGATAAAAAACATGATATAATGTAAATTGTGTACCCGTAGCATAAACACCACAATTTACATTATATCACGTTTTTATCGCGTCTAACCGTGAAACTCCATAGTAATTTGACAATTGAGAGTGATAAAAAGATACTATAAATCATATCGCGGTGCTCATGGGATGCTGCTACGGGGTATGTAGAGAGAGAACCGAGTACCTTATATCACTGTCCTTACACTAGGTACATACACGTTCATAATATAACACCACGCCATAAGTTATTCATAATTATGTGAATCGTGGCGTAAATGTTGATCAAAAAAAGAAAAGTACACGAAAAATAATAAGTTTCCTTTATCTCCCAGACTAGAATATTCGAATTTATACCAGAACAGTAGATCTCACAAAATGGTTTAAAAATATATACCTATATTATACTTACGTGTCTGTGCGACTCCGGCAGTAAGAGACATGTCGTGGGTAATGATCTGACCCCATTGTTGGGTAACCAAACTGAACAGTGGGTCGATCAATTGCCTGTCTGGGAAGAGACGCACACTTATCTCCCTGGCGTTGGGGAGTGGTAACCCAGAAGCTGCTACAGGCCACGAGCTGATACCTGCGATAGAGAGATAAATAAATAAATATTTTCCACACTCACACTAATTACCTACCCAAAGTAAGCACGTAAAGCTTGTGTTATAGGACGCTAGGGTAACGGATAGAATACATATACGAATAAAACATTACTAGCAAACCAGTGAACCAAATGTTCACCAAAAAAAAAATATTTAATTAATTGAGAACTTCGGAGATTTTGTGTGGTTTCGTTTAAAATAGAAATCACGTGATTTCTCGAAAACCGGAAGTGCTACGTTACTCACATCCAGTTTGTAGTCTTATCAGACTATTCTTAACTTATAACTTAAACATTCTCTATATCTATCTCTTACGGTTTGGCCGCTGAAACAGCACCACGGACGGACGGACGGACGGACTTGTCTAATAGATAAGAGATAATATTGTCACGCGAAATATTTTGTCCTATTAATAATATTAAATGTGAGTTTGTAAGACTTTATCGCTATAACGGTTTAACGGATTATGATGAAATTTGGTATTTATAATTATATTTTTTTTTATTACCTAGATTGAGACAAAAGTTCTAGTCTTGTGGGATTCCCAAAAAAAACTAACCATAACGCAAACGAACTCGCAGGCGGAATTAAGCGAATAATATTAGTAAAATAATAAATTATGATTGACACTAACAACAAGACACTTAAATAAAATCTATTATTTAAGATTTGAACTCAATAACAAGATAGAGATAGTTTGCAAATAACAAAAGTAAATTATTCATGAAACTAAAACGGGACAGGAATCTATCATTGTTCAAAACTACTAAGAGTACTTGCACAAATATGTCTAAGAACTTACTTGTCTTAGATCTTGAAAGGGCTCTTCAAGTTGGTTATGAAACGCAGATGTCCATGGCAAGTTTTCCACTAAGATCTTAATTTATGAAAAGCAATGTTTAAGAATGTTCAACGGTAACGAAATTTTCTAGCATATTTGTCATCAATGAAAACTTGGCATCATTACCTACCCAAATGCATTAGTTGTGAAGCGATAGAATAAATATTTAAGATACATTTTCTGATTTGCGTTTTTCTTATAATTCCTAATATAAACATTTTTTTACTAAGATTGCTTTGCAGCCTAAGATATACTTAAAAAAAATAGCATGGCGAACATCATACAAAGAAGACGCAGCTTCGAATTCTGCTGACACCTTGATAGCGAGGATCTGGTTAAAACTTTCTTTAGATTTATAAATTGTGCAGATTAATACTTAAAATTTAATATAATAAATCCCTAATATATTGATATAACAATCTCATATCTTGTTTTTTAAGTTTTCACACAAACCACTCATTTAATGAAACACGTTTAAACGGGTTTTAAATAACAATAATAATATTATAAAAATCCACTCCAAAATGTACAGACAGTATACTTAAAATTGCTAAAACTTGGAGCCAGTTGGAGTAACTTGTCAATTTTGGGTAACTTAACCTGTGCAGATTAGATATTTATAATATGCATTGACAGTATAGTTGTATTAATTGATGTATGATTTCCCTGTTCCAAACTAGTCATTTACCTGCATAATATAATAATTCAGACTGTAGGCGTTTTGATTTTTTGATCCACGAACGTTTGTGAACAAGTATTACACAGAACAACTACAAACAAGACCACTTAAATTAAAATACATACAAATGTAGAGTTGAATTTAATCAACTACGTATAGGTATTATTAAGTAGTAAATTAAAATGATAATGTAGTCTTTAAAAATATTACGAAAATGTTTTCCATGAAATTCATAATGAAACACTTGTTTACATTTTTTTTCAATAGATGTTATTCTTTTTTGGTATTATGATTATGAAAGATCTTTCTTTAAGAGAGGTAGGGTAGCGGATTTCCCGCTCGAATTAGAGCACCCGTCTGGGAAAGTAACCTCCACTTTACAGATGACTACAGTAAAATAACACTACATTTTGGTGGTGTTGTGTTTGTCGGTGAGTAAGGTTCCAAGGCTCCATGGGGTAGTAGATTGGGTCAGGTGCGAGTAGGGTTACTATTTAAAAATTTGGAAAGTCCTGACAAAAAGCCAGACATTTCGATAATAGTCTGGACATTTTAGTCTCAAAATGCAAACATCATCCGCTTGCATCGGGATCTGCTGATTTTTAAAGATAATTTATGTTTTTTTTTAAATTAATGAGAACTTGATAAAGATAATTTGACTTATTTGATATAACTTAATAAATAGTGTTACTCATATTCCATCTAATAAAAAATACGGACAAATTAAAAAGCCGGACAAAGTCCGGACAAATGGCAATATGTCCGGACAAATCCGGACGGATGGTAACCGTAGGTGCGAGTGATAGTTTTGGTATCGCTAGCGTCTATAGACGATGGTGGCGGCTTACCATCAGGCTGGCCGTACACTTGTTTGTTACACTTTTAACATAAAAACACAATGATGGTACGTAGTTTAATTGATTTCTACAAAAATGCTAAAGTTTTTTTTTATTTAAATACAACTTTAAACCAATTTCGTTTTTGTTTATGTATACCTATGTGTAAAATTGCCCGGAACTTACTTTCACAGTATCCAGTTTCCGCCTATGTAAATAACCTTCAGCAAATGGAATAACAATTTATTGGTCCAATAAACAAGCTACCTATTTGATGTTTACTTGAAATCACTGCGTACCTCGGATTTCAGATAAAAAAGTTAAATGGATTCTATATTTTTGGTTCGTACAGTAATAAAATAGACCAGTGGGTAACAATATTCTTATTAATGTAATACTAGCAATATTTTTTTGTGATTATAATCTAACATTTCCAAACAACCAGTAGGTACCTACATTGACATACATTATCATTCATTCTTATACTACTAACACGGCTCAATTTATCCAAATCTAAAAGGAAAGCTTAATTTTAGGATGGAGTGATTGATTGGATACGATATTTGAAGATATTTGAACGGACGTAATAAACGATTACATACTTTTTAGACAGAATAAAATCCGAGTGATATATGGGTTAGAACCCATTCCGTGTGATTTTTTTTTTTATTTAAATGTGTATTTATTCTTCTTAAATAGATTGGCTATAAATGATAATTGAGGTGCAACAAACCCTTTGTATTTCTATAAACTTAAAAAAAAATACTATGTGGCTTATTGAATATCATTACAGTAATGATAAGCATTATTGAGTCTCGATTTTCTAAAAGTAAAGAAACTTTTAACTTTGATTTAAAAGTATAAGCTTGGCTTGGGTCGTATGAGCCGTGACTGTAAATTAAAGGCCAGTTTATATTTAAAAACAATGATTTTGAAGTATTTTTTTATCAATTATCAACCTGCTAATTATATAACTTTAGGGTTTAGCGTTTTCGTTAAAACGAATAAAAAGAATCCAACTTTTCAAAACTCACAGAAAATTCTTCGCAAAGTGATGAATTTTCAGTTATTACAATGTATTCCATTATGATTTTTTGTGACAAGAGGGAGACAAGGTGCACCATGGTTAATGCTTAATTACATTAAAGCCATGCCCCTTAACTGTGAAACGTCAGGTGTTAATTTAATATTAGATTTGACAGAAATATGGCGCAGGAGACCCGTCATGAATTGAATTAAATTTACTTAATGATCATTTCGGTCTCATTTCATGTTTTTCGATGATCAAAACGATAAGAATAAAAATTTCAAAAAGAACACACAACGTTTTCTTATTAAGGATAATAATGAACCCTTTCTTAGTTAGTGTGAGTCACGCCTTTGTCTCAAAGGGTAAGATGGAGACAAATTGATCTCCACTTACTAATGTCATAACAAACTTCTTTTCTAACTATAAGTGATTTGAACATGGTCCTGCTTACATGGTTTGCGTCAATATATTCCAGTGATGCATTACGGTTAAAATGAGCATTGGTGTGTTGTTCATTCGATGACAAAAAAAGTTTTTCTATGTAAAAAGGGTAACGAACCAGCATTTGGTTCTCCAGGGGGCCAATCGCCTAACGGAAATGCTTTGGGAAACGCTAACGCTTACGATTTTATATTGTTATTTCTAGCCGCCTGAGGCTTTCGAATACCTCACGCTCATTTTTTTTAATATTGTTATTACCAATGCAAAAGAAAAAGAAAGAGCGCGAGGCATTTTAATACCTCAGGCGGCTAGAAATAAAAAAATAAAATCGTAAGCGTTAGCGTTTTCCATAGCATTTCCGTTAGGCGATTGGCCCCCAGGTGGTAAGCGGCCGCCACTTCAGCCTAGGCTTGCGATTCAAAAATATCGCCATATTCTACCCTAACCCTCTCCTATGGGAGAGGGTTAGGGTAAAACGGGGTAGGGTGAAACGGGGTATGCCCCGTGGAGTCCACTCATCGCCAAAACACAACACCACCAAGAGGTACCTAATGTTATATCACAATCATTTAGCGGTTACTTCCCCAGGTGGACACGCCGATTCGTGGAAAAAATCGTCTATTTCCTACCACATTTATATGGATTTACTCACCGTCTCCGTATTTATAAGGCACCAATCTTCCGTATGGCGTTTGGGGAACTCCCCAAGTTGGTCTGGCCAGATTGTTGCAAGACCCGTCGATGGTTCTATACCGTGACTTGGTACACACGGGTGGGGCCAGCCCACACGTTCGGGTGGCGGGATCCTGACCAGATCCCAACGGAGGAGGTGGGTTGCTGAAACTGGGTAGTTAAAATAGATTCGCTTAGAAACATTTTCCGTTACATAATATATAAGTATTTAAAGATTATTATAGGGCCACTTTCACCAATATTCATAATTCGATTTATTAAATGATTAAAAAGAAGACTACGCCCAAAATTAAGTTTAAACTTTTTCTTTGGAGCTTTGGTCTTGCACGAATAAGCCCGGTGTTGCACTGGTACAAACCCAGTTTTAGCTTTGGTGGAAGTAGGCCTAAGGATTATGTCCAACTATTCTCTACTTTTAATAAATATTATGAAGGAAGAAACACCCCCTATCAATATGTAAATGAAAAAAGTTTGAAAGGTTATTTCCTCTCGAGAACACTTGGTAACAAGGTTGGTAACACGTAACATATTATCCGTGCACTTCTGGTCGGATACGGATTAATGGCCACGCTCGCTACTTCATCCATATTTTCATTTTTCCGATCCTTTATCGTGATACAATTTTCTAGCTCATGAAAATACATAGTACTTTTATGCTATGAGAATAGTATAGGCTTTAGAACCAACGAAATGTAAAGTAAACGTTATTGATTCTTTGAATGATAAATTCTCTTATTTGTTTCTACATTCTATAATTGATTTCCATAACAAATATAAGTATCTAAGTTAATTATATTGTAAATTTATAATTTACAATTAATAGTAGGTAAATAATATTAGCTCGTGCTACTTACTTTTTAATTGTTGGAGTATACTAGTGTTTTGCAGGTGTTTTAAGGTAAATTATATACTTGGGAAAGAGGAAATGAGTTACATCACATAAGAGCTAGAACTTTTAAAATTTTCTTGGTTTCAATTGCAATATATATATTTTTACAACGATACAAAGATTGTTTTCATGAAATTTATGGTGTAAAATTAATAGAAAAATTAAATTTTAAAAGTCCAAGCCTCATTTATAGTTAAATAAAGTTAATAATAAAGACATTGTTTAATAACCTCGGAATGGTTCCATCTCCTTGATCTTGGTACTGTTCCAACGGGCTGCTGAGAACAAGAAGATCACAGGTGCTTTATACAAGACAGTGCAACATTGATTCTTAGTGACAGAACATAGAGTGCATAATTATAACAAACATTATATACAACGTGGATTGCTTTATTGTTATCTAAAGCAGAAAAAGAAACTGATAAGTTTTTCAACAGTAACATCTAAGTAGTTTCTTTGATTTTCTTTTCTCGCTGTAAATACTATAGCAGACAGCCAAGATAATAAACTATAACAATTCTTAGAGCTTTATACTTTCAAGATCTAACTACCTACTAAGTTTCAATATAATCATGATAATCACAAAAGAAGCTAAGTTCTAAGAATTGTGTTTATTTATATTTTTCCTTCAAAATATTAGGTCATAATTCATTACACCTTTCATCTTGAAGTTACATTCAGAAATCACTGGAATTTCGTTATCATTTAAATTGATAAATTAGTTGAATAATTTGCGAACATAAAACATGCTACAAGACACATTTGTCAATATAAAACACTAAAAACCACTTATTTACAATGCCAATTAATTTTCTTCGTATCCCTTGAAATTGTTTGGCTTTTTGTTTACACTGAGAAATATTTATCAATGACGATTGTAATATTGATAAATATTGATTGTGACGTAGATACAGGTACTAAGTGTGAACTTTATGATTTGAGATTTTGGACACCGGCTGTATTTTTAAATCGAGTTTGATATCTGGCAATTTTCGGTATGGCTTAAATTCATACTGTCACTTTCTTTGCTACAAAAATATAATAGATAAGACGTGCCATAATAAAGGGTTAAATTAATTTGTATAAAATCACCCATTTTAACTTATTAGTAATATTAAAGACTGTTTTATGCGGACAAACAAAGCTTTAAGGGTAGGGTAGAGTAGGGTCATCATGAGTTACCGACCCTGAAGCAAAAGTTTTACCCGCATTTTGAAGACAGTTAAAATCATAGCTAAGAGGGAAAACGTTTCGTTCCAGATCTTTCTGGCATTAATTCAAAATATTGAAATCCTTCAAAATTTGAATTCTCGAAATTGCTTTTGAACTAGTATAATTATCGAATATTGTTTTGTGCTATAGGAAAAACATTGTATTTATGTGAGTAATTTACTATTCATAATACAAGCTTATTATATAACCTGATGATGAATTATTTATTATTAGTGTTTCCATTTTCAGATTAATTAATAATTTGCTGTAATTCGTGGGTATTACATAGTTGCTTAGTTTCGTCATTGTTCGATTGTAAATCACTACTTGATACCCCGTTATTGCTAATTAATTTTAACAATAGGTTAAAATCGTTAATATGCTATAATCGGTTGACGTGTTTTCTAAGTATAAAGCCACTTACAAAGTGAATCACTTGATTTTAAGAATTATTTATTTTAAATATTTTTAGTTGGCTTATTCTAGTGAAACAACTTTCAGTATATACAGTCACGCCTAGATACAGTATTTACTACACGGAAGCGGCCAAAAAAATATCTACTACATTAGGTGGATAAGCTCATCGCTAGACACGCACACATTGACTGCTTTCAAACAATATGACATTATAGTCAAAACACATTGCGCGTAACATGAGCCGTTTTCTTTGACAGGTTCATTTGGATTTTCTATCTAGGCGTATCTATAAACAAAGGTAGATATTGCAATATTGCATACTCCTACCATCGTAGTTCGTAACGTAAATTTCCTCTATCGTGTCTCTAAGCGTGGCTCTAAGCTTGGCACCTCAAGTTTGACGTGAGCAATTCCGAAACCACCTATCAATAGTTACAGCTAAATACATTACGTATTTACATTTGAAAAACTACATAATTATTTATGAGAGATCAGTAATTAGACAAAAACCCGAAGAAACAGCGGCCTAATCAAAAATCATTATTTCCTATTTTACCGCGAACTACTTCAATGTCAAACTCGATTCTTAAATTATTTATCAATAAAATATGTTAAAAGGTAGTCAACCTTCTCGTACAGTGTCCAAAAACTAAATCCAACTGTCCTATTCTTTAAGAACAAACTCACTTTCCACCGCGGAATGCGCCGTTGATTTGAAATTCGTGTTTTGTAATTTTAAATCACGTCGCGGATGCGTCAAATGTGAAAAGTAAGTTTGTTCTTAAAGAATAGCACTGTAGTCCATTAACACAACAGTGTACACAGAACAAAGAATAAAACTTTCTTGTATACCAATCTCCCTCGTATTATCTCACCCAAATCCATTGACTGGTAGCCTCTGTGCCGTTGAGCCTGTAGCTATGAGTCTTGCGAACTCGGCCCCTGATCCGGGCTGCTGGAAGGGGTGAGCGAAGCCACTGAAGAAGCCTTGAGCCTGGAAACTGCCCTGCGTGAGACATTGTGCATAACCGCACAAGGCCAGCAAGAGGCACACCTTGCTCATTTTATCTGCAACAAAAGAAATAGATGTCTAATCAAATTTCCGTTAACATAGTTTGAGGTAATTGAAGTTTTAAACTGCTACATGTATAAATAAATAAAAAAATACCCAAAAAGGAACCTGTCTGTCTTGACTGAGTGGGATTAATTTAAGTAAAAAAATCTTTATTTTTTTATTTAAAGTTTTAAACTGCTCGATGGAGAAATCCAAAGAAAAATTACTAGAAAAAAAAACCTGTCTGACGACTTCACTGACTGGAATTATTTCTAGTAAAAATAATCTTTAAATTTCCGATAATTAAGATGTTTGCACAGTTTTGTAATGTAATATTGCACTGAAATTTAATAATTATGCCTGTAACTAATTTTTAGGTCATTAAAATAGCAGTACAATTATTGCATTCGTTAAAAAGTGAAATACTAGTGAAAATAAAACGCGACTGCCTTGCTACTAGAGAACTTGAAAAGTAAAAAACAAATGAAATGAAACACTTTTTAATTTAAAGTTCTTCGACTACATTATTTCTTTTCTTCCTTTTTCTGAACGGCAAACCATTTCAAATACTTAACTACAATCGTGGTGCAAGCATTTAATACTTGTTTGCACTTCAATTAACTATTTTATTGTAGTAGATCAAAGTATTTGCATGGTACACAATGTGATCAATTCTAGCATGATTCTCTAAACCCTAATTTAAATTAGACAACAATGTATCGTTGTCATTTCCTACACAGAATGAACAGGAAATACTTATGTTAAATTAAGTTTTAAGTTTAGAGTATCATGCCAGAATCGAAACAATTATCTACGTAAAATTAATGCATGTAGGTCGATTTAAGTACATATATATTTTGAATGTGCTCAGTAAGACCTTTAATTTAATAGGTACTTGTATTGTAAGAATTAAAGTTCTTTTTATTTTTGTAAATGAAGTCTTAATATTCACAGATCATGATGATGTAAGAATTTTATCGATACCTTAATTATTAAAGACTGTTCAGATATTTCAAAGTTCAAGATAAACCCTGAAAAGAAATACACTCCTTTTTAGGCAGGCGTGAATAAAAGATAAAATTTCAACTTGTTAAAATCAGAGGCCACGGAACTTTATATAACACCTTTATGAAATAAAGTTGTCTATTTAAGAAACAACATTTTTTTAAATTAAATATTCGTACTAGGAATATATATTTTTTAGATTTGTTGGCTTTGTTCTTAAATCTATTTGAAATATTTTAAAAGACTGAAAGACTTCATCCTTGCTAAATCGTTATAGATTTAGTGCTTGATGTGACAATAAAAAACCAGCCAAGCGCGTCATACTCGCGCATAAATGATTCCGCACCTTTATCTATACAACATTAGACACTATATTATAATATCGGGCCAAAACGGCAAAAACAACACGACCGTTGTATGAGAAACCCTCTTAAATATTTATATAACTCTGTTCTTAGTATATCTTATTAATTAATACGGAACAGCCCAATAAATTATCTACAAATTTCAACTGTCTGTCTAGCTATCATGGTTCATGAGATGCATGGACAGACGAACAGTGGAGTTGTAGTAATAGAGTCCCGTTTTACCCTTCGAGTAAGGATTGGATTTTCATTCATTAACATTACAATTAATCGACAACACAGCATAAATAACTTAAGTGTAAATAGACAACGTAAATTAACTATGTGTTGTTATCGATACAGCGACTAGGCAGTAACAATGATTTTGGTTGTTATAATTTTTTATAGTCCACTTCACTTCGAATTTGATGATCTAACAACTTGTCCGAGCGTTCCCAGAACTACACTCATCGGCCTAATCGATCAAAATTGCGCAAGTTACCAAAATTAAGTCAGGTCAGTCTAAGGCATGTATGTTTTCCGCAGATTTCATGCGAAATTTACGAAAGTAAATGTAAACGTGTTTGTACAGTTTACGTAAAGCGCGTCGGTAAATAATGAATCTATTCGCTAAATTGATCGACAGAAATGTTCTGAAAAAGAAAACCTTGTATCACCGCTACTATTATTACTAAATCCTCAATCGCTTGTAATTAAACTAAAGTAGACTTTGCTCGCAACTTTTTGAATTAACTCCATCACTCATACATCATCGTAATAAATGTTGACACTAATACAAATATCACGCTCGGCATATTATTGGCTGTGGTTAACGGCGAATTTTGAATATAATTAATTATCGAAATGTTTACAGTAATTGGTAGGCCCTAAATAACAAACATATCCGTACAGACCTGTCAGCTAAGTATTGCTGACAGATATGACAATATTATTGATCATGCTTCGCTAACTTCCGTAGGTTAAATTAGATAAGATCTAAGCCGGAATACAAATTAAAGTAAAAAAATGTTAAGACAGTTACTTTCACAACTTGCCTCTAAAAATGAAATCCGTGACAATTTTCGGATCCTATATATATTTTTTTAAGTAAGTATTAAAGTATAACTACTTAAAACAAACAATAAAAAAAAAGTCTTTGGTTACTCGCCTGAAAACTAAACCGGTGATAACAGTGATAGAGTAGTCAAACACATTATGAAAAAGAGGTACACAACAGGTAACGTCCCTTCCAAAGCAGGAGGAACTCGAGATTGTAAACTTTTGGTCAGTCATCCTAAGACAGGTCATTGCGAAAGTTGCTCGACTTTTACGCGATCCAACTCCACAACCACTGCGCCTTACAGCTCCTCAAAAAGTAGGTTAGAATGGCATAATGTTCTATAAATCTGTACTCTGTACACCATTGATTTCAACATACAATCAGTGCCCACAAATTTTCTAGAACTCGTAAATGTCGACAGCAAGTTGTAGAACTTTACTATTAACACGACGATATATTATAAGATAGCGAAAAAACAAGTTTGTTTTTGAACAGATAAAATTGATGTACAGCCAATACTTTTATTGCAGTAGAGCTTTTGGATATATTTCTTTATCTTTCAAATTGTTTGACTGCTTTTTGGGTGCAGTTTCTTTATTCGCAAGAAAAATTGCGAATACCATAAATTTTTAGTTACATCATCATCAGCCTATTAATGTCCCCACTGCTGGGGCACAGGCCTTGCCTATGGATGGAATAGGGAGATTGGGCCATGACCCACTACGCGGGCCCAGTGCGAATTGGCGGGTGGTAACGACTGCAGATGCAGCCGGGACCAACGACTTAACGTGCCTTCCGAAGCACGGAGGAGCTCGTGATAGTAAATTTTTGGTCACCCATCCAATGACCGAACACTGCGAAAGTTGCTTAACTTCAACGATCGCAGCCGAACGCGCTAACCACTTGCGCCATCGAGCTCCTCATTAGTTACATCACTTTTTTTTTAAATAATTATTATATACCTACAGGTTTGTACTGAACCCTCGGTCCTCGAGTCGAACTCGCACTTGGCCGGTTTTTTTACAGAATCAAGCTTAATAATATATTTCTGTCATGTCTGCAAACAAGTAACGTGTTACGACGCTTGAGCGTGAAAGAAATCTTCTATTCATGGTCCGTTTTAGCTTCAGTTGTGACGTTCATCCTCATCTTTTTGCATTCTCGTCCCCTCTTATCCCTCTTCATACCCATATTTCATACACCATAAGCCATGATAAAATATGTATTATTATATATAAATCAAATCCCTTGGTGTTTTCTTTTTAAAATGTTGGTTTATGAGGAAATATACTTGTGTAATCAATGCACTATTTTATAGTACATTTAAATTACGCTTTTCCTTCATATGCAAAATGTCTTTCTCCACAGCAAATAACAAGGAAGTAGGACTTTTTTTTATTGTATAAGTATTAACTTTCAGTTTCTAGAAACATTAAAATAACAAATGCCTAAAATTACCTACTCATGTCTAAATCTGCTTATTTTTGTTGCGTATTTAAAGGAGGCCTTGTTATTTCCAGCAATTGACGTATATTGGCTAATGATGTTGATATTTGTAAGAAAGTAAATAACAAAGTACTGTTGTCCCTTTTCAGTGGCAATGGTAATACGAAATAAACTAACCTCCTAGTAACAATTAAATTGTGTTAATAGTCCGATACTTGCTCGTTCTCCATATCTTTCATTGTATAGAAATACTTATGCCCAGTCACACTAATAGGCGGTCATCATATAAATCATCATTTCCTGTTCTCATATTTCAATTTGTAGATGTTTTTATTATCCAATAATATTTGATCAACTGCATACACAAAGGAGCTCGATGGCTCAGGTGAAATGCGCGTTCGACCTGCGATCGAGGAAGATTGGACCGATGACCAAAACTTATTATCACGAGCCACTCCGTGCTTCGGAAGACACGTTACAGCATTGGTCCAGGCTGCATCTGCAGTCGTCAGCATCCACCAATCCACACTGGGCCCGTGTGGTGGGTCATAGCCCAATCGCCCTATTCCATCCATATGGAAGGCTTGTGCTCCTACAAGTGCTATAAAGGATAATGTATGGTACACCGGTGTGCCTAACTTTATAGAAAATAATTTCTAAGTTTGTATTTTCTACACATTGCTCAAATACCAATTAAGCAATCGTTAAAGCGTATCGTTTTATGTAACGTATAGGCGTGAATGTTCCGAACAGTGGCCGACATGTTCAATTATTACTACTTATAAATAGTTGTGCTTAACTGCAACCACACAGTTACGTCTATATACTTATTAAAGTGATACTTTTATTTTATCGCCACATTTCCTTTTTTAATCTTTAGGACGTCGCGTCGCTTTACATTTTTATTGTTATTAAATAAATTAGACCTTATTAACCAGCATCAGTGGTGGAGTAATGGAAAGCTGGACTGCCACGCGTTCAATTCCCAGCTGAGGAAGACTTTTTACTATTTTCCGCTCTTTATAAGCCTATGTAACATCAACTAAGCATTCTGGCCAGCATTATCTCTTTTTTTTAAGTAACTGGTTTCCAAGTCATCTCTTACACAGAGGTCCTGGGTTTGTATGAACTATTATGAATGAATATGAGCATTTGCACC